AATGAAGAAAAAATTTGTTAGTCTCGTTCGTATGAATTTGCTTTGATTTAAAACCAAATCGAAAAATCTACTGAGTTGTCTGACAAAGATTTTTTGTTTTTCGGCAACAAACTCTATTCTAGTTTTTTTGTGCTTCTCATTTGAAGAAATTCAAAAAAATATTATTTGATCCACAGGAATCATTCAGTAGATATAATGTTTAAATCATCGAAGCACGAATATTTATGCAAGATAAATATAAAAATAACAAAAAAAAAAAGAAAAGTCTAAAACAATCGATCTCTTCCTGTTTTCTTTATTTGAATTTCTTCTTCTAAGTTGTGTTACCGAAAGGTTTACAACAAAACAATATAAAATTTTTTTTTTATTTAGCTGTTGTAGCTGGTGCAGTAGTTGTTGTTGTTGTGCCAGCTGTTTGTCGTTGAGCTTTACGTGATTTAGCTAATGTACCTTCACGAAAACCATTGCGAAATCGACGAAAAACTTTCTTCAAATGTTTCATTCGACCGGTGCCAGTTGTTTTACGACGACGAGACTTTTCACTCCATTGATATTTACGTGTTTTCGCAGATGGAAAACCACAAGCAGCACAACGTTGTCGTTGTAAATGATATGATGAACGGCCACATCGACGACATAATGTATGAGTCTTGCAATTTCGTTTACCGAATGATTGAGTACCCTTCGTCATTGTTCGGACGAAGAAATTCTAATTTCTAAAATTGAAAAAAAAAACGATAGATGAAATAAAAAAAAAACACAGAAACTAGCAATTGATATGTATATGAATTATATTGTTATAAAAACAATAATTCAAAACACCTATTTCATCCATATTTATTCGTAATGCATGGAATATTTAATGATTGGATGTAATAATGACTCGATTAACTAGAATTTTTATTGAAATGAATTCAAATTAAATGTTAAAAAAACTATGGTTTTTTATAAGATTAACAGCTGTTATTATTAGTAATTAATAAAAGAATATATATAATTCAGTCAAGAGATTTGACCGATAGTGACATCTTTTAACACTGAATCATTCCATTACAAATTTTTGAAATAGTATTATTTCGATAATATTAGTAAACGAGAAATCGAATTTTATTAAAATCGAACGATTTATTCTATCAATAAGGAGTTTGACGGGCTATATACATAACTGAATACTGAAAGAGAATTAGTTAAAATATACAAATAAACAAAGCTAAATATGATAATTGTAGCAAAAGAACTAGAGTGTTTTCGCCGATTCTAGTATCACCAAATGAATTCATAACTGAAAACAAATCGGGATCAAATATGGTCGGTTCTATGTACAACATTTTATTATAATTAATTAGATTATTACCAGGTCGATTGGTAACTAACTGAGACAGTAACCAATCTATTCGATGCAAACTCGTTTTCGTTTATGAATTCATTTGGCGAAAATAGAAATTACCTAGCTTGATTTCTATTAACATTTCTATCAGTTTTATAATATTGTAGTATCAGGAATGTTGCTTTTTCTAATGGCTAACAATTTGAAGCGTGGAAAATGAGAAGCTTAACACTCTACACCTAAGATTTTCTTTCACACTTGCATTCTTATGATGTTTACTTTTAATTTTTTATTTATTTCTTTTTATGATTGATGATGTTACAAGTTAACAACAAAACATCTCAATAAAAATGATTAAAATCATATTAATTGTTCTCTTATATTTAATTATAAGGTTGATCAATATTTCTATGATCTATTCGCCAACTTATTGTTGTATCATCTGTATAACCATTAGTTCCTCCACCTTTTCGATTAATTTTTCTAGTAAATAATAATTGTTGAACACGACTTTCAATCGTAGCTAAATAAAAAATAATATTTCGATCATTAATTAATTCATCCAATGATAAAATAATATTTCGATCACAATTAAGTTCAAGAAATAAATTATAAATTAATTGATAAGCAGTATCTAATATTTGGCGAAGATTTTTTTTAGCTATTTTAAGTGATTGAACATTCATATTAGCTTTATTTACAGAATACTGAAAATAAAAAATTGTTTTTTTTAATTATAAAACATAAAATTTATTTCTAACTAACTTCAAGTGTTGAAAATATATCTTTGATAACAAATGAATCAATATTATCATTTGAAAAAATATTTAAAATATATTTTCGTTTATTATCAAGATCTTCATGAAGATGATCAAGCTATTTAAGAAATATAAAATATTTATTTGTTACTTGTATTAAAATTTTAATTACTTCATTAATTAATTCTACAGTATATTCGAAAAGTGTAAACACTTGTTCTTGTTCATCGAGAAATGTTTCAACAGTTCGATTAAGTACTTTTTCTTTAAAAAAATCTTGATCAAAACCAATACGAAATAAACGACGAAATTCATCGGCTGTATATGCACTTTTTACTCCTTTCGAACCTATTTAATGATCATAATATTTTGGGCAAAAAAAACAAAACAAAACAAAAGATAATTTATTATTACGTTTGCCAGCAAAAAGTTCATTCAATCGAATTTGTTCTTGTCGTATATTGGATTTTTTTAAAATAAAATTTTTCGATGCATAATTACTTTCTGATAGTCGATCAAGTTCACGAATATCATCTAATAGTTTCTTTTCATCACGTTCATGTTGATCACGTATAGCTCGCATACGTGCAACTATATTTCGTCTAAATATTTATACACATATACACCAACGAAAAGTCTATTTATTCTACTTTGTTTTCAAATAATATGAATATCTTCTTAAATAATAATTCATCTAAGAACAATGTAAAGAAGAGGTGGTCTAAAGCACTATGTAAAATGTAGATCGAAAATTTTCGTACTGAATTTTTTTAAAATTATTATTAGATCAGGTATTGTTGGTTAACATCTGTTAATATCCAAACTCAAATATCAAGCGAGCTAGTATATTGTTTTTTACAATAAACTTTTAATCATTATTGTCATTTTCTGATTTTCCTTTACTCTTTTTTCAATATCGCAGATGTCTTAATCAATTTAACTGAATAGAGGTCAGCTATACACTTCTAATCAATAGTTCATTCATTCAGTACTATGTGATTTCAGTTAGCTCACAATGAAGTAGATAAGACCACAGGACGAATAGGTGTGTTCTGTATCTTGCTTATTCTGTTCAGTAGCTGATCAGAACAAAAATTTTACTATCATCTGTCTTATGCTCAGTCCCGCCTTCCAACATCACAAATCATATATCAATAACATGTCATTATAATATATGAATTACTTCTTTGTTGTATTTCTAGAGATTTAAATAAAATGATGGTGAAGAAATGTGTGCCAAAATAGATAGAACAAAACAATCTTCCTGTGATTAGGAACAGCAACTACATTGTGTTTTAGGTTTTAATCCCATATGAATTGCACTAATAACTTTTTTCTTAGTATTATACTATTCATTTAAAAAAGTAACTGCTTCATGATTAGCGTATCTTAAGTTTTCCAGTTGACAAAAGATGAATAATGCTCTAGATGTTGTATAAACATTGAGTCTTCACGTTTTTTTACTTAGTTAATGGAAAATGTGATACAATAAAACCTGTCTGTATTATTAAATGGAGGATAAGCGAAGGAGTTCTGATTTGTCTTTTGCAATCTCATAAAAATTTTCGTACCGATTTGCAAAACTTTCTGAACATTCAGATGTCAATTGACGTGATTCATCAGTTGCATTTTGCATAGCAATACGAAGTCGATTATATTCTTCAATCATTTCACGACGTTTATCTAACATATGTTTAATATCAGTACGTAATTCCGCATTATTTGCACAAATTTTGCTTAATTCAAGGTTCATCTAAAGATTAAAATTATTTTTAAGATAATTGAAAATAGAATACAAACACGATGTAATTGATTTTCGGCTTGTATTAATTTTGTTTTATTATTATTTTGTTCTATATCATATTGATTATTATATATTTTTCTATTTTGTTCTGAATCTTTTTCAAATTGTTTTATCTGAGATAATTAACAAAATTTTTTTTTCTGTTAAGCTTGTTTTCATATTCCAATATCACCTTATTACAAAGAGAATGAATATTTTTTTCAAGATTTATATTATCTTCTTCAATCTGTTTTACATTATTCCATAATTTTTTATATTCTTTTATTGGTTTTTCATGAGTTATCAAATTCTTACGTATAAGTAATTCTTTTTTTGAACGTTTTTCTATATTGAGTAGTTTCCTTAAGATTATGGAAATTATTATTATTATTATTATTTGTTTTTTTTTTGAATAAAAGAAAGATCTATTTTACTCTTGTATAAGAATTGAATTATGTGTACGATGTAAAAACCGTTTTATACGCATTTCTAAACGTCGATGAAGACTTTTAAGTTTAGTTTCTTCAATCGTAAGTGCTGCTATTTGATTTGAAAATTCCACTAATTTCATCCGATCACTATTCTAAAAAAATAAAAACAACAGTTATTTTCATTTTTTTAAAAATATATCTATCGTACTTCTGATCTATGACAAGTATTACATTCATTAGCATTAACATTGGTATTAATCGGAATAAATTCTAATTTAAAATAAAAAAACATACGAAAAAAGTTATACTTGAATATAGTGGTGTAGCCAAGGATGAGGACTAGATCGAGCGCCACTCTATCACCAGAAGCAAGATAAACGTAATAATTACCACCATTGATACTATATTGCATGAATCACCCTCTTCCCAAAAATTGTAGGGTGCTGTCCTATCATCCACGATCTTTTCGCTACACCACTACTTGAATTTTAATCTACCTTCGACATTGTTCGAATCTTGAATTATTTTCATAGGCATTAGAAAAAGAATTTTTTAATAACGAAACATTAAAATAGTTTTTTTTTTTTGTTAAATTATATTTCCCGCATAAGATTTTATGATAACACAAAAAAATAGAATATTTTTTATTTTTATAAACGAATAATATTAAAGTATAAAAGAAAAGAAAAAAAGAAATATTTTTATATTGGCCGATGATTACGTTCTAATTAGAATAAATTAAATAAATAAAAGATATTTTTTTTTAGTCAAAAAACTTACTCGCAAAAGATCGAGTGCGTTTATGATTTGATATTTGTTCTTCATCATTTACTAAAAAAATAATCAAAGATGGTTATTTTTTTTCTAGGTTAATTTATGAAATATATACATTTTGTATTTTTTATTTTTTGTTTTCGTTTTTTTTCTTCATTATCAATTGTTGATAGTTTAGATTTTTTACTTTTACTAGGATTTATTATTATTTCATGTTCATTATCTGTAGTTTCTTGTTCTTTGAATTTTCTAGTTTTTCTTTTATTATTTTCATTATCATTTAATATTTCTTCTTCATGATTATATCTTTTTGATTTACTTCGTCTTTGTGTTTTTCGTTTATTATTAGTTGATAAATTATCATTATCATCATCGGATGTTTCATATGTATGATAATCTATTTTGGATTTTTTATATTTTTTAGTTCTTCTTTTATTATTTTCATTATCATTTAATATTTCTTTTTCTTCTTGATCATGTCGTTTTGATTTAATTCGTCTTTGAGTTTTTCGTTTATTATCAGTTGATAAATTATCATTATCATCATCGGATGTTTCATGTGAATGATAATCTATTTTGGATTTTTTATTTATTTTTGTTTTTCTTTTCTTGATAATGATTTGTGTAAAATTTGATTGTGAAGTTGTATTTTCATCATCGGATGTTTCTACTTGACGATCAATTGATTTTGATTGTTTATGTTTTCGAGTCTTTCGTTTTTTTTCAATTGGTTTCTCTAATGATGTTTTTGCTGCTGCTGCTGCTTCTCGTTCAGCAATAAATTTTGCAACACTTCGAGTCTTTCGTGCACTAACAATGACCGGCTTGGATTTAGTTTTAGTAGTTATACGTCTTCGAGATTTTACAGGTACTGTTTCTTGAACAGTAATCGATTCGCTAGAGTAGACAAACAAGTTTAATAGTTCTAATATTAAAAATGTAATAACTTACTGTTGATTTGGAAGATCTGATTTAGGAGCAGGATTATCATTTGTTGTATCTGAATGAAAGCAAGCAATAACTTTATACGAAATCAGTTAGGATTTATATCCCGACGTTCAATGAGCTGATTATGAGAGCATAAAAATTCCTTTTTGATGGATTAGATCGATCGGTCTCGCTAACTCAACAATTACAATGAAGTATTTGATAAATATATGCAACTAATTTTGGTGTTTTTATTATTAAAATATGCATACTATGAAATCAAAGTTTTTTTTTTTGCTTTTGCCTTATTATGATTATTAAGAAAGTACGCTAGATTAAACTATTTAAGAAAAGTTTTCATGCTATCATGATCAGCTCTTTAAGATTTGCAAACTTGTGTATATTCTAATGAAAATAGAAAATCATATTAGGATAACTTACGAGATATATGTTGTGATGATATTACTAATAGATTAGTGTCAGCAACGACTAATACATCATCATCTGGAATAGTTGGTCGTTTATATTTATTCTGATCATCATTTATTTGTTCTGTTTTAATGATATCAAGTAAAAATGTTTGACCAAAACGATGAGTATCTTCTATGGTTTTTTGAATATCTATATAAAAAAGAAAAATAATATTCGAACTTGAATGATAAACTTTATTTATTCTACTCGTTCGATTTTGGTCGAGTGATGAAAAAATTGTATTTATTGTTTTTTTATTTTTCTCATGATTTAGTGATGATGATGATGATGATGATGATTGTTCATTAATATCATCTTCAGGTGAAACAGTTGCATCATGAAGAATTGTTGGTGTAAAACAAAGTCGTGCTGGTATATTTCGTTGAGAATCTATCAATAATGTTTCAGGTTGTGTTACAGTTAAATATGAATGATACTGTTGATTAGGAGGAGCTTGATAAGTTCCATTTGGTTCATCGTAATATTCATCGTTCTGTATTTCCCCATTAATCATAGTTTCTTCAGGTTTAACAACAAATGTTGTATCTACAAATTCTAAAGGTTGACGAGCAGTACTAAGTGGTAATATATGAATACTAAATCGTTCATCTCTTCTTAGTACAGAAATATCTTGATCACTAGGAATATGAACTTTTATAGATGGAACTATTGTAAGACGATTTGATTGTAATCGAGATTCTAAATATTAATTATTATGATTATTATTATATAAAATGATTCTTTATTTACTTCGAATCATTTGTGTAAGTAATGGTGTTAATGTTTTACCATTCTTTGAAGAAAAAGAAAAAAAATCGAATTTTAAAATAAAAATGAATAGAAACAATATCATTTTAATTACCAATAATTTTGATATATGTTCTTCATCTTCTTCTTCTTCGATTGTTTCAATATTTGATGCTGGACTTTTTTGTACTACTCGAGGGTAATTATTACGAGAACGAATATCACCAGGATTAAGTAAATTTCTTTTTTTTTTTAATATAAAAATTTTAAAAATAAATAAAAAGAGAAAAAAAAAATCTAAATCTAAATACATACTGATTCATTACAGAATGAATTTCTTTCCAATGTTCAGCTTCTTCATGAATGATTTGTTGAATTATATTACAATGTTCTTTAACAATAGTACGTACACTTTCCATTCTCTAATAATAAAAATAATTTGTTAGACAAATAGAAAAATACTATTACTTTATCAAAATAAATTCGAAGTGATTGTGATGCTAATTCAATCATATTATCAAGTACACGTAATTTATCATGATATTTTAATAGACGTTCATTGATATCATTTAGATTTTCTTCAATTTCAATATTATGAGAAAATCCACTTCTCAACTGCTTTTCAAATTGTACTAAATTTTTATATAAAAACAAAAAATTGATTTCTTATTTAGAATTTAATTCATCGATTTACCATTGATACTAATTTCAATAAGTTTACGAGCAAATCGACATTTATTACGTGTTGCTATAAATTGAGTTCGATTCCATGTTAATGGAAAATCGAATATAGTTCGATTATGAACAGTCATTACTTATTGAATAGAAAAAAAGAAAAAAAAAACACCGTATTGACAATAAAATAGGAAAATGATTTTTTGTTAAATTTTTATTACAAATACAGTTATCGAAATTGTCGTTTTGATCATATTTATTTTATCCAATAAATTATCATAGATAACAGATGTCACAAATTGCATTTGTCATATAGATATTCAATTCCACATCCTCTTAACCTATAATCATTATTATGTTGTCATATAAAGAAAATGAATTAGTTCTATAAAGTAATATATACTTATTCTTTTTATTTTATTTTTTTTTAAATTTTTGTTGAAGAAGTCAAAAAAAACAGTCATCAAATGTTACAATGAGATCAATAATAGAAGATTAGAGCGAGATGTAACAATAAGAAAGAATTTCAAAATTGTATATATAAAAGAAGTAAAAACATTGAGAAGAAAAACCAGAAGAAAGCACAAACAACTTCATTTGCTAGAATTTTTCATATTTCGAAATTCTACATGAATGATTCGACCAGTACAATGTTAGTAGATTCAATTATGAACTTGACTAGAACGATTTTTACAAAAGAACAATGCAAACAAAAGAATAAGATTAGTTTTAAGAACATGTCTAAGTATCTATTCATATGTTTTAACATCATTAGATAGCCGAAATTCTTTTCCATATCAATTAGTTTTCGTCTCGTTGTTTTTCTTGTTCTTATTAAATTTCTTATTTCTTTCTACGTATGTTTTTGTGCATCAAAAACAATTTCTGTTGTTGTAATGATTCTATTCATTCGTTTGATTCATCATGTTTATTTTTTTACCAAGGTTACTCAAATACACATTCACCCTTGATTTTGATAGCAAATTTTTTCTTTTATTTGAACAATTCTATAAAATTGATATTCAAAATATTGATGAATACTTTTCTTTTTAATCAAATGTTCCAATCTAGAGAAGATTTGTTCATGGTTAAAATCAGAAAAAGTAGAAAGAATAATACTATGGATATTGAATATTGGAATGTAAATACGTGACATTGTTGTCTATACAAAAATGTTCGATCAAGTATTGTTTTCATACTTGAAGAAAAATATAATAAAGAGTAATTCAATTGTGTTTTTATTGTTCGTAAAGAAACCAACGCACTACAAAACAAATGATCAGTGAATATTCAACATAATGTGAATATCATTGCATATAATGGCAAGCAAACATTATGATGAAACATTCGAAAACCTCTCATAAACGTATGTTCTACATTCAAAAATCCGATGATGATAAGATGCAGATTTTTTTTTGTTGGTACAAATATTTATTATTCAAATGAAATGGAAATAATTCATTCATAATTCAAGAACAGAAACAAAATGGATGTTTGACATAGTGATCGTATAGATACAAAAAAAAAATGTTTTACTTTATTACGATTATTTATTTATTTCTTATGCTATAGCTTTGTAGCATTTATATAATTGTTATGGAGTATATCTAACATTTTATAGATACAGAAGTATTGTTCGGAATATTTCAAAAATTGAATTTTCTATGTAATCTGAAATAATTTGATATATACAGTATTGAAGACAAGATGAAATATGTCCAAATTCCACATGGAAAAATTTAAATAGGTCAATTTCCTTTTGAAGCGCAAAATACTTCTGATTTTTTTAAATTTTTAATTCGGATTCTAATGTAGGTTTTAGTATGTATATCTCAACTATGATTTTTTTGTGAAATTTTGAAGTAGAATTTAATTGAATAAGAAATATGATACGGTTTTCATATTGTGTTAGGATAATATGTCATCGTCAACTAAATAATATGACTAATTTAAAAAAAAATAACGGAAATTTGGTTACTCATATGGCTTAAATGAAATAAAATTATAGTATGAATTGGATTGAATTTTTGTTTTATTCTTTTACATTAATTATTCTTATAGTCATTTGGAATAATTGACATAATTTACTCTGTAGTTGTCATTTATAAAATAGTAACTTCATAATACAATTATATTGCTTATGGTAGACATCTGTTTTTTATAGCATATTAACGACACATGTGCAACCAATAGAAATTTTTTCCTATTCTGTAATAACATTGCTATGGTGGTCCGCAATGATTTGAATTTGCTTAGTAACTTATTTTGTATATTTTCTCCTTTTTTTTTATTTTCTTGAGCGAACGTAATCGTCCTCTCGCTACGTTCGAATGGGTTGCTTGTCATTGTGCCATGGTTAACGAGTATGCCTATTTTTTTTTCTTTTATTGACTCATTCGTTTTTATTTCGTCTTTTGCACTTTAAAAGCTTGCAAAAAAACACAATTTTTATTCAATGTCTGATACTGTCGCTGTTAACTTTTCTTCTCCATCAATCATTTCTATTCAATCAGTATCTTCAAATTCATCATCATCATCATCGTCTGATAACAATGATTATGAAATAAAAGTTAACACTGGTTCTGACTTATTATTTGTTTCAAAGAAAAAACTTATTCAATTTCAACCAACAAATCCTGATATATTTCATTCATCAAATTTTAATGGACCATCATTTAAACAAATTATTCTTGTTTTTATTTTACTTGTTGCAGTTACATCATTATGTTCATATTTATATAAAGATTCATTAATTAATATTTTACTTATACTTGATACATTACCATGGTGGTGGACATTTCTATTTTTTTGTGTTTTATTCACACTAGTTTCTTTACCATTTGCTTGGGGCAAGTATAAATTAAGAAAAAAAAAACAAAATAGACAACTAATTGAAACTTTTGTCTTCTAGGATATATATTATTAAATATAGCTTGTGGATTTTTATATGGACTTATTTATGGTATGATATTTATAGTAGTATATGTTAGCATTGGTTTATCATTATCATTTTATATTTGTAATTATATTTTAACACATAATTTTCGTATTATTAAAAATTTAAAAACAACATTTGAAAGTAGTGAAATTATTCAAACATTAATTAAAGTTCTTAATAGTGTAGATGGTTATAAAATTATTTTTCTTAGTCGACTTACACCGGTAAGAAAAATTTTTAATTTTTTTTGTAAAAAATATTTTTGAAATATTCTATTTCAATAGATTCCTCTTGGTTTACAAAACGGATTTTATTCAATAAGTAATATACCATTTCGCATTTATCTTTTTTGGTCATTATGTGGTTTAATACCAACACAATTTATTTATTGTTTACTTGGTTCACGTCTTCATTCAATGACAGATTTAATGTTAATTGATAAACGAACAAAAACTGTCGGAATTGTTGTTGGTCTTTGTGAATGTTTGATGACACTTGTTTTAACGTATTATGTATTTCATACAGCAAAAAAAGTACTGAATAAGTTATTACTTGAAACATCAGCATCGAGTGAATGTTTGATTGCTGTTAAACAATAAATAAGAATATTGTTTTGTTTTATTTTCATATTATAATAAATCATTTTTCATTTCTTATTATTTGAAACAATAAACAATCAATGAAAATATTAATATAAACTATAATTATGCTTTTGAAACATTATAATTCTATCAAAAAGTTGAAACTTTATATTTAATGATGAAATTAAATATTTATAAAGAACAGCCAGTTTTTTATATTACTTAAAAAAAGTAAAGAAGAATTGTGGTTTTTTTAAATATAGTTTATGTTAGAATAATGAAAGAGTCACATTAAAGAAAATTATATGATAGCGAGAGTACAAGTCATTAAATCTATAATATGTATTAAAAACAAAAATAACATGATATTTACCGATGATATATCATTACTACATACAAAACAAAAGACTGTCAATAAATTGCTATGATTTGAAATTTTTCTCATTACAATTAATATATATTTGATTGAAATATCAATAATCAATATATATATAAAATAGTATTCAAATCTTGTTTCAGATGAGTCTTTGGTGTGATAAACATCGTCCAAAAACTTTTGATAAACTTGATTATCAATTAGAACAAGCAGCATTATTACAAACAATTGTAAATAAATCATTCTTGTATATTTTCATCATATATTCATTGATAGTTTAGGTAGCTAATGGTGATTTTCCTCATTTTCTAATTTTCGGTCCTAATGGTTCAGGTAAAAAAACTCGAATACAATGTTTACTTCATGCTTTATATGGTGATGGTATACAATCTTTACGTATTGAAAATCATGAATATGAAACACCATCACGAAAAAAAATCGAAATAACTACTATTGGTAGTAATTTTCATATACAAGTTAATCCAAGGTCATTATTAAAATTCAATTATTTTCATCGAATAAAAATAAATCAAATACTTTTTTTTTTTTTTTTTAGTGATGTTGGTATTTATGATCGTGTCGTTATTCAAGAGTTAATTAAAACAATTGCACAAACGAAACAAATAAATATCAGCGAACAACGAACATTTAAAGGTGCGTTAATATTGACATACTTAATATAAATATTGATTCATTACGTTCATATTTATTTTATAGTTATTGTTCTTGTTGAAGTTGATAAATTAACACGAGATGCTCAACATGGTCTTCGTCGTACAATGGAAAAATATGTTAGCTCATGTCGACTTATACTATGTTGTAATTCGACGTCACGTGTTATACCCGCTATTCGAAGTCGATGTTTAGCTATAAGAGTTGCCGCACCAACTATTGATGAAGTTTGTCGATTGATAAATTTATTTATTATTTGAAAATTTTTATATCTAGATAAGTAAAATATTAAAAAAAGTATCGAATTTTGAAGGAATTCAATTACCAACTGATTTAGCAAATCGTATTGGTGAAAAAAGTCAAAGAAATCTTCGAAAAGCTTTACTTATGCTTCAAACATGTGCAACACAAAAGTAAAGATTTTGATTCAAAAAATATGGAAAACTGAAGATTTGTTTTTATTTTTATTAGAGTTCCATTAACAAAAGATCAGCCAATCATGGAACCAGATTGGGAAATATATTTACGTGATACAGCACGAATGATTGGTGAACAACAAACGCCTCAACGGTAAATAATCTTTTTCTTTTTCTCATCATTGAAAATCTACGTTTTTGGTTTTGTAGGATTTTAGAAGCACGTGAACGTCTTTATGAATTAATTGCACATTGTATTCCAGCAGAAATTATTTTTAAAGTAAAATTTTCTGTTTTATTTTCTTTTTGGTAAAGAAATTCTATGACAATAAAAATTTATTCTTAGGGTTTACTTGAAGAATTATTAGCTAATTGTGATGATGTATTAAAAATTCAAATAACACAAATAGCTGCTGAATATGAACATCGTCTTCGACAAGGTTCAAAAGAAATCTTTCATCTTGAAGCATTTATAGCAAAATTTATGTGTATTTATAAACAACATATGCAATCAATGGCTTCTGGTCTTGATGAAGATTTTGATTAATTAAATATATGAACAATTATAATGAAAATTCTTTTTATATGTATATATGTGTCAGATTGATTAATAAAGATTCAAATGTGTATGTATGCAATAAAAGAAAAATTTTATTGTTTTCATTTATAGTCTGAATATGTAAGAGATATCGAATGTATGCCAAGTGTATCATATGAGTTTATAAATTCGATATTCATTCTATCAGTGTCAATATATTCCAAGTATATTGTTTCTTTATCATGTGAACGCATATATTATTTTTCTATTTCAATCTTTTAGTGACGTGCAGTATGATTAATTGATTGATTTATGAAATTGAGTTTTCAGAGATTTGATAATATGTAATTGTATTTGCTCTACTATCCATGGCTTCACACTCTGACTGAACAAATGATGAAGATTTTTAGTGTCTATCATAATATAGAATTCTTTTGCTAATAATAATACATTTATAAATTTCAACTGCCTGAGTTTGATCCTATCGCGTCAACAGTTTGTACTTCAGATATTTGATATCTTCGTGCAATTTTCAAATTCATTTTTATTTTTAGTTCATATTTTATGTTCGGCTGATATTCAACATATTGTGACTATAGCTGATAGTTTGACGAAATAAAGGCGAAAATATTTTGATATTTTTGTATTTTTTAATAAACAAATGTTTCGAAAATTTCTATATTTAGATTGTTGTTCCTATCGAATATCGAAGTACTTCATGGATGTAGAACCATCATAAAAATGTATGTCGATTGATTTATCCAAGAAATATCGGAGTGTAAAATTGTCGAAATATATGTTTTTATGAAAGTTCTAATCTATGAAATTATAAGCGGAGAAAATAGAAATATTAACAGTCGATTACTGAAACGAAGATAACACTATCAGACAACTAGTAACGCATAGTAAGAGAGTAGGTGTGGGTGTTCTCTTCACTCTCATCTATTCACAGTCATACTCACATCCCCCAGAAAACAATAGATATGAAACGTGTACATGATTCAAGTCAATTTATTCATTAAGCTTCATCACGTTTTTTCAACTTTGCTCTTCATAAAAAAAAATATTTTTTTTCGCTTACGAATATAAACTCTATAAATGAAGCAAACATATTGAATTCTTTATCATCAACTAAATGATAATTTGTGTTGTTTCGACATCTGCATAAGTCGGCATTTTTCTCATATTTCTTTTTTGACCAAAGTACGATTTATCATGTCGATTTCATTACATATCGATTAGTATGGATGGTAATTATGATCTTTTATCAGGTTTTACTTTAACTAACAAGTTCTTCATTTTTATTTCGAAAATTTATATCATGTATACGATAGATATTTTACAGAAATTCAATAGCAATTTTTTCAGTTTTCTCATTGATACTGGCATCAAAATAATGCCAATGTTAGTTCTAATGTTGTTCCACTGGGTACTTTTTCTATGTAAGAATTCCATAGATCAAACAATAATCTCATTATGTTACCTTCTGTTGGTATTGATATGGCCTATTTAAGCTAATATTTTCATCAAATGAAAGATTAGTGCACTACATACTGAAACATTTGCTTCAGGAAGGAAATTACTTAGTTACATTTTTTATTGATAGTAATGATCTTTGTTCTGATTACAAGAATATTGGATATGTTAGTATATCATCATATTTTCGATACTATGAATAAATTACTTCTAACAAGAAAAGTACATTCGTTAGTCTAAAATTTCGAATGTCTCATATTCTTGTTTAATTTGATAATGATTTTAAATATTGTTGAACTTGAAGATATAATTGATTAGATGCTTTATTTGAATTTTCAGAAAATTCATTTGAATTTCCGGACATCCCTTTTGTTTCCTGTTTATCAAGGTAGAGGAGGTATAGAAAATTATTTTTTCGAGCAAGGTTTAGCCAGTGACAGTAATGAGCAAGGTTTGGCAAGTGGCAGCAATATATATTTTATGAATAGATATTTAAATATAAACATCATTGAATGATCAGTTGTACCAATTAATCAATATCTCCAATATCTTCTATACCTCCTTATACTTCCTATGCCTTCTTATACCTCCTGTACCTTGATTAATAAGAAACAAAAGGGGTGTCCGGAAATTCAAATAAAGCATCATACGCTATGATTACATCAAGAAATGATTTGTCAAACTATGCAATCATGCGGAGAACCTTGAATATCAACATGCAACAGATGCATTAATTAGTTCAGGTAAAAACAACACTTTTTCAAATAAAACCATTTTTGAAAAAATAGTTTGACTGATTTCTCCTATTTTGCATCTGATTATTTCAATTTCAGTCAAAAAAGTCATGAATCCACCTGCTGCTGTTGAACTTTGGAATACCATGTTAAGGATTTGTGCATGATTTATTATATGTTTTATTTACAGATGCAAAAAGTTAATCAAAAAAAAAACAATAATTTGAAATTTATTGAAAATGCTTACATATCATATCATGATAAGATGATTATCATCTTTTATTTTTCTACTTTATTTTATTGAAGAGTGTAGAGGCAAGAAATAAATACATCTATTCATTGAAAAACAGTGCATGAAAATCAATCAAATATCAATAAAAATTCTTATTATATAATTCATTGGATTTTTTTTGTCCGATAAAAAAATATTAAATGATACGAAATAATTTCATTGATTTTTGAATATAAATGAGCGAGGGATTTTATTTTGCAAATTAGAAAACATAAATAAATAACGCATTGTTCAGCATAATTGAAATCAAATTCTTGAATTCAATTATTCAAAGAAGATGACATTTAATTTGAGTTGAAACCAAATTCAATATTCCCTGTAATATATTATGTTTTTGCTCCATACATGGCTATGTTGGATGAAAGAAACAAAAAGATGTATGCATACAAAGTTTTTACAAGATGTATACGAATGATCAAGAAGTGGAAAATTTCGTCAGAAAAATATTTATTTCTCAATTAGCTTCCTAATGATAGAAGAAATCCATAAACATTCTTCGTTGTGAATAGAAACGAAGTGAAATCAAGATCGAATTAGTGTCATTATTGTTGAGGAAATTATTTATTCAAAAATGATATGCTATAGATATGAAATCAGTGGATATTTTTTTATCAATAATTTTGCGTAGTAATTTAAATATTTATTTAAAAAAACAACAAAAACGCTAAACGAATGACATAAAACAGCCTCACGCCATCATTTTTCTAAAGCATATGAGAAAATCGAACATCTGCACATGATAAAATTGTACGTTTGTATATAAAAACATATCATAAAAAAGTTTGCTCCATTTCTCATTTATCTTTTACAAGTAGATATTGGCAGAAATTTAGAGAAGCTAACGAAAAAAAAAATGTTACTCTCCTATTTAAGTGTCCTTTTGACTTGTGGTAAGATTATTCTTCAAATGTGTTTGTTTTTTGTTTTTATATTCAAATTTTTGGAATAGGTATTGCCTTAGGACAATATGAACGAGAAAATACTCCAGCTGAACGAATGAGAATTTTAGTAAAGATATAAAATATTTGTTTTTTTTTTAATTTTTAATTTTATTGATTAGGGTCCCTTGGCTTTCGGTAATGCTCGTATAGCGCTTAACTGCCCAGCATTAGCTCCATCACCAACAATTCCAACATCAGGTTTTTATATTTGTTCTTCATTGATTAATATATATATATATAATTTTTTATTATTATTCATTATTAAGTTCATGCTTTACGACCAACTGATATACAACATACAGGAGCGATGGGCGATAGCTTAACAGTATAAAAATACATAACATATATCAATTCTTTAATTTATATTCTAGGCAGCAAATGGTGCTAAGGCAACGACAGTCGTTGGTGTTCTAGTCGAATATCGAGGTGTTTCATGGAGGTAAAGAAAATATTCTTATTATTTTTCTAATTATTATTATTCTATATTTTAGTATTGGTGGAGATCAAAATCTTCAAAAAGTCGTCACCTTACCCAGTATATGTTTATTCGATATTGTTGATTAGTTAAACAAATCTTTTTCATTGAATTTTAAGATATTATACGACAATATAACAGTAAATTGGATGGTTATTCACTTGGAACTGGTAATCGTGATTCACCAAAAGCTGGTTTTAGTGTTGCAAAAGCTGGTGCTGTTTCTGTGTAAATTCAATCTATTATTTCAAAAAAAATATATATATACTTAAAATATCTTATTTCATATTCTTTGTAGTGAAATGCCTGATCAAGCAAATATGCTTGTTGATCGAATGATTAAGACATTGGGTGCTGTAAGATTTGCTGCAGATTGGAAATTGGTTACATTCTTTATTGGTGGTAATGATCTTTGTGGTTATTGTAAAGCTAAAGTATGATTTTTACTTTCTATATATCTATGCTATTGATTATTTTTTATTTGATTAGGATCGATTGAGTGTAGCTAATTATAAAAAGAATGTTAAAGGTGCATTAGATATTCTTAAAGCTCGAATGCCTCGTACTCTGGTTAATTTTGTAACTGTTCTCAATGTTGCTGAACTTGAAGATTTACATGAAGGTGTTCGATGTCAAACATTACAAAAGTAAGATAAAATAGAAGAATATATATATATATTCAAATAGTTTTTGAATATAATAGTTTTCTGTGTGACTGTGCCGTTGATAAGAAAACACGTGAGCAAGTACGTGTAGCAAATATTGAGTATCAACGAGTAACAACTGAATTAATTGATTCGGGTATTTATGATACATCTAATGATTTTACTGTTGTTCGACAACCATTTATGGAACATATGAAAGTACCTGCTAAGGTATATAAGACAGAAAACCGTTTTTAAATGACATCATTTTTTGAATAAACTTCATTTTTATTGTAGGGCGATGGTTCAGCTGATTTCTCATATTTTTCACCTGATTGTTTCCATTTCAGTCAAAAAGGTCATGAAGCTGCTGCTATTGAACTTTGGAATAATATGGTTCGAATACTATATTAAAAATTTGCGAATAATTTATTGTATGTTTTATGTATAGATGCAAAAAGTTGGTCATAAATCAACTACCTGGAATTTAGGAGCTACACTTCAATGCCCTTCTACAGTAAGATGATGATTAGGTTTTTTTATTTTTGATTAATAAAAATTATTTTTACTTTCTTTAGGGAAATGGATATATTTATACATCGAAGAATAGTGCTTGATTTGAAAATCATCTTTCATTGATCATTTGATTTTTATTTTCTCTATCAATAAATAAATGTGAACGATAGGGCAATACGTTGACCCTTTGAAATTTTTGCTTGATATTTATGATAAGACTGGTCACGCTCATCTGCTTAATTTAAACGACCCGAGAGAAAAAAAGAGATTGAACAGAGACAATTTAAAGAAAAATATATAGGTTGATTCATTCATCCATTCATTCATTCATTCATTCATTCATTCATTCATTCATTCATTCATTCGAAAAGAGTCTACTGAATAAAATGCGATATTATCTTATTTTCATCGTTTTTAGCATTTGGTTTTTATCCATTAATGCACAAGCAGAAGATAATTCAATAGCAAATAGCTTTGTGCAAAATGTTACTGAAGAAGAAACAACTGTTGTAGCAACTACTGAATTTACAAACACCAACAAAACTACTGAATATACAAGCTTAGATCAAACTACTAAACAAACGAACTTCGATCAAACTACTGAACAAGCAAGCTCCGACCAAACTACCCTGAATACAAGCTTAGAACAAACTACTGAGCAAACGAGTTCCAATCAAACTGATGAACAAATGAACTTCGATCAAACTACTGAACAAACAAGTTCCGACCAAACTACCCAGAATACAAGCTCAGAACAAATTACTGAACAAGCAAGTTCAGTCCAAAGTACCCAGAATACAAGCTTAGAACAAATTACTGAACAAACAAGTTCCGATCAAACTATCCAGAATACAAGCTCAGAAAAAATGACTGAACAAACAAGTTCCGACCAAACTACCCAGAATACAAGCTCAGAAAAAATGACTGAACAAACAAGCTCCGACCAAACTACCCAGAATACAAGCTTAGAACAAATTACTGAACA